TTTGACTCTAAATTCGTGGTGTTTGAAATTATGGTACTTAGATCAAAGATGTCCTAAAAGATATCGAGCCACCTTTTACTGAACTTGCATACAATGAGTAATATGAACGATAAACACAGTGCAGAAAAGTAAAGAACACACATAATTATTAATCCAAATCGGTGAATCAACACTGTAATATGGTGAGAGAATTGACTTCGGTATTTTGTGTTTTATCGCAATTGTTGCAGACAACAAGAGTCGCCACCGACTTTTCTTTTATCCAATAAGGAAAGGGTGAAAAGAACAGGAAAGACCTTTGAGATCATTTTCTTGAGTTCGGGAGGTAGGTTATGAAAAGGGAAGGTGTTAGCACCCTTTTCATCCGTAGTTATCTATGGGTTCTTAGTTGCTTGCTAGATCACTTTCTTTTAAAAATGTGCTTGTGAGTTTTGAAAGTATTTTGAAAAGTGTCTTTCTAATGGTTCTCGTTTCTATAAGAACGCATACAAAAAGATTTGTCTTTTAAAAATGTTTCAAATGAAAGTGTTGGTGTGTAAAAATGTTTTTGTTGTGAGCAAGCGAGCAACTAGGAGCATCCTACCTACTCAAAAGGTCTAATATTATTTTCCCCATCCTTTAAATGTTTCTATCTTACCATTGATTTGGTAAGAAGCTCCATAGTTGGATGTGAAGGGACGAGCGTGGGTCATTTGTATAGTCATAGAAGGCAACCTATGAGATGTTTTAGCAATTTCTGTTTAGGGGCTAGATCGTTTACCGAAGGCAACATTGAGGGTCATCGAGGGACTACAATCTTTTATCGAGGGTCTTTGCTAAAACACTCATATTCGAGGGACATGACTATTTTTCTGAAGCAAAAAGTGAGATTACCCTAGAGGTGCATGTGTGAATAGTGTGTTTGATTGCATGCATTTTGTCTTTGAATTTTAGGATTGTCTACTTGTTGGTTTTATCTTGCCATGCATCCTAATTACTGACATTTGTACACAAGCAATAAAAATGCAGAAGATAAAGATCCTACATTATTACAATCATATTGAATAGCAAGAAAATGTAAAGACAAAACAAAAATAAAAGGAGGAAAAATGAGCTTTTCGATCTAGGAAAAAACACCTTTTGGTTCTGCTCTTCCTGGCTTCCTTCGATTTGGGTCTGGAGTCAGTAAGGTCACCCCTTTTGATTTCATCATTTTCCTGCTTCTTTCAATTGGGGCCTGAAGTCAGTAAGGTCACCCCTTTCGATTTCACCCTTTTCCTGCTTCTTTCGATTGGGGCCTAGAGTCAACATGAGGTGCACTCTTCGCCTCAAGCTCCTTGCTGCCTGCTTCGACTACAAGAATGCTAGGCCTTCAGGTTGAGATTCAAAAGGCTTGAGTATTTAGCCAATCGAAGGATATAGAGAATCTATTTTAAACTTTTAAACATGCAACATTCAAGTGTAACTTTTCGAAAACTACAGGTCATGGGTTAGCACAAGATTATTGGGTCTCAAAATCCAAAGTCTAACTAGTCAGGGTTGAAACTTTCAACATATAGGCAGTCAAGATCGAAGGTTAAAGCATGGTCAAACTCCCTAGATGAAATATCTACATTTTCTCTTTATTGGTATGTACACATGATATTTAAATGAAAGAGTTATAAGTTTAGAGAGAACTTACCTCTTGAAGCGCTTAAATCGAAGGAAATTGTAAGTGACTTTCTTGGTGGTGAATGGAAGTTCGTTGGGGTCTTCCTGAGGCTAGTTCAGCTACTACCTTATTTGAGCAGTCACTGAATCGAAGGAGAGTATGTGAGTGAATCAAAAGTTACTTTATAAAAGCTTATTATATTGTGGTTGGGAGAATGGGTCGAATGTTAGTTATCTAGAAACTTGAGGAGTGAACCGAATGGTTCACTTAGTGTGTGAAGGGGTCTGAGTTTTTTAGAAGTGCTTAGAATATTTGGAAAAAAAACGTTGAATAGTGTTTAAGAGATTTTTGAGAATTTTATCACCAAAGTTTTTGCAACTATCTAGGGGCCCCCAAGATGTGTGGTGGAGGCTCATATTTATAGATAATTTTGGCTGATGTTTTAGGAGGGAAAACAAACCAAAAAAATTGAACAAAAAGGGCATGTTGTTCTTGTGGCTTTCGAGGGGCAATATTCGTATGCCAAATTGGTGCAAGAATAAGGGCAGTGTTTGCAGGACTGTTGTGCAGCAGTTTTGGAGTGTTATGGCCAGTGTACCAGGCCTGAACTTGGAAGCACAGGATCTGGCGCAGGCATGGGCTCAGTGTGCATGGGCCTAGCAAAAAAATCAGAAACACACCCCCCTGGGTTGCTTATGCAGGCCCAATCTCACTTTTTATTTTTAATTCTTTCTTATTATTTTTTTTATTATGTCTTTTTTGATAATAACATAAAAAATCATATTTTTTATTTAATCAAAAAATCATAAAAAACATCAAAAATCATTTTTCATAAAAAATATTTTATTAATTAATTAGTTTAATTAAATTTAGGCAATTTAATTCTCTTTTTATTTAATTTAAAATAATTAGAATTAGGGTTTAATTTTGTACATAACCTAGTTTTTCCTTAAAAATAACATAAATATTTCCTCAAATTAGATATTTAGGTTTTCCAATTATTTCTCGCATTTAATTCGCCGCGCGCGCTTTTAATTTTCTTTTTTATTATTATTGTAACTACTCTGAGTTTATAATAGATTTAAATAGGTTTTTAATTCCGCATTTTATTTTCAGTCAAAAATAATTATGTATCTCCCCAAAGCCTTGTAATAATTAGGACTCTAACTTCTCGCATTTTAATTTCCGCAAACTATAAACTGCTTAGATGTATGTATAGGATTGTATGGAAAGACGAATTGAAATTAAAACAGTAGAAAACCCTAATTGTGCAAAGATAATTAACTGAAAAAAATACACTTGCACATGCTCACTCCTAGGGTTTACTCCACTTGGTTGCCTCGGAAAATAATGGTCATATCCCTCGAATGTAGGGATACCTTTAGCAATAACCCGCGATTCAAAATTGTCATAAAGATCATAGTCCCTACTTGTCCCTCGAGTTGCCTACGCATTGATCTTATGACGATAGTCCCTTCGAAATGCTAAGGTATCTTTACTTGTTGCCCTCAGAGACCATTTTGTCCCTTCGAACGTCCCTTTAAAACTCCAACGACGGTGCTACCTATTCCTTAATAGTAGGATAGCGCTGTCTAAAGGAAAACGAATAGACTTTTTTTCGAGTAAGTAGATTAGCTCCTAAGTACTTGCTCAAACAAAACTTTTCACACAAACACTTTTCAAAACAACTTCGTCACACTCTTGAGGACTGATACAAGGGTTATCACGAAGTAAAACTTTTTCAAAGCAAGCACACACAAGCAATTTCAAAATGAGCAAGTACCTAAGAGCTCGTGGAAAACCACAGATAGAAAGGGTGCTAATACCTTCTCTTTCTATAATCTACCCTCCGTACTCAGAAACATCTCGAAAAAAAGTTTTTTCTGTTTTTTTTTCTTTTTCTTTGTTGGATGAAATAAAATTCGTTGGCGACTCTTGCTTACCGCAACATTTGCGAACAAAAAACGCAAAATCAGTATAACAGTCGGTTCTTCCACCGTATCACAGCCGCCTTACAGACCATCTTACTCGAGGTATATAATATTTTGGGGTACAAGCAGAAAATGTGAAGCAGGAGGTTAGAAATACACAATAATTTATTTTTATTTGTATTTTTGTAACTGTTGTATTTTCTAAACAATTAAATATAGTGGTAACATTTTCAACTACTTGATTAATGTTTAGATTTGAATTTAATGTTTAGATTTGAATTTATATATGACTTGTTTGAATTACATTAGTATACTTGGCATGGTGTTAATATATTCTTAGAGAATGGCCTAAAAATTAATTTGGCAACTTGATGTAAAATGTTAATAACTCTCAAAAAAAATTTAGATATTATTCCGAAGATGCATCTACATAATCACTCTTAAAAATTTACGGAGCATATTTTGATAAATTTAAAGTTATGGTTCACTTATGAAGCACATAGTGCTTTCAAGGAATAATCCGAAGACTCATCTCCATAATTTTTTTAGGATGATTCTGTAGATATCTCTCCGAACAAATTTTTGACAAATATAAGATGAATGACTCACTTATAAAATATTATGTGCATTTTAGATACATATGAAAATGCATCTCCAAAATATAAAAGGGAAAGTTCAAATTTCCTGTTTGTTCAGTCTTACCATATGGTGTGGATAAAATAATACCTTAACATTATTTTGTTGTAAAAAAAACTTTTTAATAATTCTCTTAGGTTTGTTCAACATTCTATCAGTAATGTAGATAATAATAACTAAGAGTGAGTTGATAAAAATTAATTAATATTGCAGCAAAAAACTAAAACGTATCTTTAGTAAAGAAAATATTGTTTTTGATGTTTCTTTTAACATTCTCTTTAGTAAAATGTTAAATTTGAGACAAATTTCTTTGATAAAAAAAAAACTCTTTATTATTATTTTGAGACGAGGGATTAACTAAAGAGAATGTTGGAAACACCAAAAACAATGATATCTTTAACCTCTAGATAAATGAAGATAAGGACTTTGTTGTCTTTGCATGACAATAAGTTCAGAAGAATCCGAGTTTAAATCATAAAGCATTCTTCTTACCAAATTTTAATATCTTCCACTCTAACTCAAATTCCGGATTATCAAGAACCGAGGGTTAGCACAGAAATTCAAGTTAGAGAGTACTCAACTTAAAATAAAACAAGCACTAAGACATGTAGCACAAATTTTGGTATAGCATTAAAATCTAGAAATAATGAGATCCAATAACCAGCTATACAAATTTTGGTTCTTGTGTGATAGCAACGATCACAGAGTAGAATAATTATATGCAAAAAGTTTGGTCCTTGCAGCACAAGTTTTGTAACCATGACCTTGAGGCCGCAGTTGAAGTCAAGCCAGCCATTTGTTCTTTATTTCTCTTCGACACAAGCTTCAAGAGAGAAAACAAAAACAAAAATTCAGAAGATTACAAAATAGTTCCAAAAGAAAATCAAGTTCAAAATGCACTTGAAATTCCTCAAGAAAGAAATGAAAGGAACAAGAGAAAATTTACAATGCCGAATAAAGAAGTAATAGTTCAGAAGATTCATTACAATGATCAAAGAAACAAATTCATAAACATTTGCAACAAAACTGTCTCCCATCCATCTTCTTAGGAGGCTTCTCAACCCTCAAAGGTAGTGTTGTTGATGGCGGAGAGCCAAAATCCCGCCATACCAGCCGTTTGTGGCACCATTATAGCGGATTATGGCGGAAAACTTGCAATATCAGCCGATATTTACCATTGCGGCGAGCTCAAAAACCGCCATAAATATCTGCCATAGCATGGCCATGGCAGATACTTGATAACACTGCTCAAAGTCAAAGCATAGTAAATTACATCTTCCCATCCCTAAAACTTTGTTGAACATTGCACAAACAAGTAGTAGAAACGGGCCTTATATTGCTTGGACAAGAAGATACTACTTTTCTTGTGGAATTTTGTTGAACACAAGCACAAACCCTAAACCCTAAACCTGCCTGTGTACGACACTGTTTTTGTTTCCTAAACACAAGCAATATCATGTATTATGTAGTCTAACACAAAAAACCCATTTTCTAGAACCATGCTTTGTTTAAGGGTAATATCATATACTGCTGACGCGGCCGGAGCTGCTACGTCAGAGCGGTGACATTCCAAATTCAATCCCAATATCACGGTTGTTCCAGTCGAACCACACATCTGTGATGGAACGGTTTTCTTGGTTTTTATGTTCCATGCCGAGACAATAGTCAGAACAGCCGAGTTTGATAACATAGCTTTAAGTAGCCGACTGACTCTATCAATTCCCTTATCGCTCTAGAACATCTATGCCAAAAACATGAAACACTTTTGATCATGGTTTTAAACAAGGTTTCAAAAAACAGTCCGTGACTGCGAAAATGGCCGCGACAAAACAGATACTGTTATTCACAGTTTTCATATTAACGCACAAATCGTGATTAATTCAACGGCGGCCAACGTACGAGCGAAATCGCAAAACTCTTTACACGACGGCGGCCGTTATTTAAAACCTTGGTTTTAAATTGCAGCAACGGTATCACAAATGCAATTTTGACCGGATGGGCCACATTTTATGCATTATTCCATAATAAATAGATTCACAGCATAACCGCAAGCGCATTTTAGAACCATGTTTTGGTTATCAATTTCAACTCCAATTAACCCCACCAAAAATCATAGTCAATTGATCAAACATCTCATAAATAATCATACATAAGCCAAGACAAAAAAAAAATCAAAACCAAAACATCTTCATTAACTAATCAAAATTCACCGATTCCCTAATAGACAGTGCATGGAAATTACACAATTGTAAAATAAAATAAAAAACAATAATTTAAAAGGGTAAAAGAATTACCACCGCAGCAGAAACAACAGTAACAGCAAGAAAAAATCAACAAAAGCTCATGAAATACGGAAGCTGCGCCTCCCACTCCAGTTTGAGGAGTGTCAACAACGTTGTAGTTGTTGTTGTCTTGTTCCAACAGTTTCTGTTGGGTTGATGATTGACGTTGTTTGTCTTTTTCCATTCTTTGGTAGTTCCATTCGAGGTTTTTAAGGTAAGATAGCTTGAAGGAATCTCTGAGATTCTTTGTAGGCCAAAGATGCATCTCTCTCAATTCTCTTGTTCGCTGTGAATAAACCTAAACGATGAAATAGCTAGAGCTCAAACTTGAAATGTGTGTTTGTGGAAAACTATATGTACCAAATTCCGGTGTTCCCTGTGCAGTTGGACCGATTCTGAAGCTAAAGATAAATTTACTCATTCTTAAATTCGGTTTTAGATGATTATTAATTAAAAAATCTCTCTAATTTTATGGGGTTAACTTTGGATCATTTTTTTTATATTCAAATTATAAATTATATTTATTTTATAAAATTATAAAAAGATTTATAAATATTAGATTTAATATAATATATAACATATAAAATAATAATAATTTATTATAGTTGAAATAATGAAATTATATAGATTAAAGTAAATTAAAAAATAGGATTAAAAATAATAAATTAATATAACATATTATATTAATAAATAAAAATATATACATAAGATTTTGTGTGATTTGAATGATTTAGATCGATTTTGAAAAATTAATCTCAAATTTAATCTGAATTGAATTATTTTTATAAAATAACATCCAAAAAATGTATCTAATAAATTTACTCTGAACTCCCTTTGTCAACAAATCCGCAACTTGTTCTTCGCTTCGACAGTATCCCAACCTCAGCTTGCCTTCACTCACCAGATCCCTCAAGTAATGAAACTTCATCTCAATATGTTTGCTCCTCCCATATGCAATGGGATTCTTAGCAAGGTTAATGGTTGAAACATTATCAACCAAGAGTGTGACAACTTCTCCTACATTGCTGCACAACTCCTCCAACAAATTCATTAGCCACACAATTTGGCACACACATAACAAAACAACAATATACTCAGCCTCACAAGAAAAGAGTGAAACCATCGGTTCCTTTTTAGAACACCGAGAAATTGATGCTCCTCCAAACATAAAGATATAAAAGTCATACACTTTCAATTATCTTTATCTCCGCTCCAATTAGAATCGGTATAACTGAGCAAATCACATTTTCTGCCCGTATCTACTGCGAAAAAGAGAATTCTACCGCCAAAAATTCATTTGACGTATCTTACGATCAAGTGAGACACCTTCTATAACATCTCAGTATTTTTACATACATTAAATATACTCTCCTGATTTATTATTTATTTATTAATTTATCTTAAATATATAATTAAATTTTAATTATTCATTTATATTATTATATTTTAATTAATATTTTATTTTACTAAATTAATAATATCAACGTGTTTATTTTACTCATAATGTTTTGTTAAATTTATAAATAAATTTTTATCATATTTAATAATTAATGTTAAGAGGGATTATTATATTTGTTATTTTATTATTTTATTTTAATAATTCTATAAATATAAAAATATTTTAGTATAATAATTATAAATGAATAATATTATGAAATTAGGTCAAATTTTCTTTCTCTCTCTTTTTATTTACAAATTGAACAACTTTTCACTAATTCAACACTCTCCTCTCTTAGGCTTTGTTTGGATTGATGGAATCGGATGGAGGGGAGCGGAATGGAATGAAATAAAATAATATTTTATTGTTTGGATAATTTAAATATGAATGGAACGGAGCAGAATATAGTGGTATGAATTTCATTCCATTCTATCGGTTACTACCATTTTTCTCTCTTCTGATTTAGGCGGAATGAACAACTTACTTTGTTCCGTCCTAAAATTTCTAAACAATTGAATGATATCTTCATTCCATTCTGTTTATTCTGCTCCATCCCACTCCGCTCCACTCTATTCCACTTCGTTCATTTCATAATATTCAAACATAGTCTTAATTTTTAGAATTACACGATCTTTCACTTTTTCTCAACTTCCATCTCCAAATCTCTATAGAATCCACATACAAATCTTTTACAAAACAAAAAAGAAATATAATTTTGACGATAAAATATTATTATCCTCATTCTTCATCATCAACATTCTATTTATTTCATTCTGGTGTCAACTGTGAAAATATCAATTAAGATTATTATCGATAAAAGCATTAAGATAAGGGTGTCTCCCATTCAATTATAAATTAGACTTGACTTAGAATTTAATTTGATATTATATACCTGGTATATTTAAATTTTAAAATTTTCTCCATTGACTAAATAAAAGTACTTTTCTTTTTATGATTAGAATGAGTTTGTGAATGTGTTAGCCTTAAGTTTTGAAATCGATTCAATTTAACTATTGAATCGTAATTGTGATTACTGTCATTATTTTTCATGGTTCATGATCTAGACTGGGCCAGCGCTTTCCCCACCGTTGAGGAGACTCAATCCAACACCCTTGCATAAGGCCCAAAGCCAAGCAGTCCAAGTTGGGGATCGTTGGGCAACTCCCCACATATCCATTGGGGAACGTGGCCCACGTGTCCATGTCATCACCGTCATAATTTCCCTTCGGGAATCACGGGCCCAACATCTGTTCTCTCAGAGCAATTGACCAGGGAGGAGTCCACATGCTGGACTCCAAACACACGTAAGCCCTATCAGTCTTCATTGTTGGGCCTCATCGTGGCCCAATGTTGGAGACCTTGACCCAACATTGAGGGCTATAAATACCCTCTCTCTTGAGAAGGTCAGGTATTCATTATTTCATACTCACTCTCATACTTTCTCACACTGCTCTAAACCTTACTTTGGCATCAGAGTGTCTTACATGTACCCCCTGACTCATTTCTATTTACTGCTCAACTCACAGCTTGTAGGCTTTGACGATCCATTCTGGTTAGGTACGATCAGTGGCGTCGTCTGTGGGAAAACAAGCTTTCTCGTCTTTCATTTACCCAAGACTAAAGAAACTCTCAAAACTCATTTGATTGTTATGACCGACCCAGCTGCCAACAACAACCTAGAGGCCCATCTCGTCGACCCCAACAACAACGTCGTCGATAACATGGGCAACAACAACAACGGGAACAACGTCGACATGGCCGGTTTCGTGCAGAATTACAGAGACAGAATGACCTCCCCTTCATCATTCCGATCTTGGCCACACGAGGGTGCCCATCCTCCCCAGAGCTATGAGCCGAACGTTTTCCAGGAGGTCCTTATCCCCGCAGGCGCTGATGCCACGACCAGAGCTCTGTTTGTGGCCATTAACCAGACAAATTACTTAATCTTATCACAAGGTGAGCGACTAAGGGTGCTCAAGGAATCTCTTAGAGCCCCCAGAAGACACAAAAGACCTGACACTCCACTTCCTCGTCAGAAAAAATACCATCTTCAACCTCCCATGCAGAGACATGGATGGGACATGTCGTGAAGCCTCTCTTCCCTAAGGACTGGGCGACGCCCCGTGTTGGAGAGAATAACGCCCGAGGATACCGGGAGATGTGGCCTCCCCCCCCCCCCGTGTTGGAGAGAATAATGCCCGAGGATACCGGGAGATGCGGCCTCCCCCCATGCAGGGAACAACGATCCCCTGAAAACAGAAACAAGGGCAACATAGAAGTGCATCCTCGACCAAGGGATCCTCCTCAAGGCCAAGGATATCATTATGACCGCCATTACAACCGTTCTCCTTCCCACTCCCCCTACAGGAGCGACAAAGATGACCCCCATGGTCCCTTATCACAAGAAATCATGGAGGCGCCCATTCCCAAGGGAACGGAGAAGCCTCCCTAACTGAAGGAATACGACGGCGTTGCTGATCCAGTCGACCACATCGATGGGTTCGAAGAAATGCTTCATTGTCATAACAACGGGGGACCGATCAAATGTCGGTTGTTCCCCACGACCTTGAGAAAGACGAAAATGGACTAGTATAAGAATCTCCCCCCAGGGTCAATCACATCCTGGAGGAACCTAAAGAGTCAGTTTATCAACTTCTTTACAGCGTCTCGTTGACACCCGAAGATTGTGGCCGCCCTTGAGGCTATCGTCCAAAGAAGCAACGAAATCCTCAGGGAGTACATCAATCGGTTCAACCGTGAGGCCATTCAGGTCCTATGCACCGATCACATGAATATATATTTGCTCTAGAGAGGACTCCTCCCGGGCACAGAGTTCAGGAAGGTCGTCAACATCGAACCACCCCGGACTTTCGATGCTCTCCTCGAAAAAGCTATGGCCTATATGGACTACGAGGAGAGGGAAGCGGCCAACAAAGCCCGCGACCCAAGGATTTGCAGATCAACCGACACCCTGAAACACCAGGACGCATGGCCTCCTCGACGAACGGGCGAGAAGAGAAGGGAGGATAAACCGCGTGATCTCCGCGAGCATAGGGGACCCGCATGGAGACTCACCGAATACACTCTGTTGACCGCTTTCTGCGAGCGCATCCTGGAGGAGTGCACTAATATCGACTTCAGGGACGGTAGCGTCAAACGTCCTTGATCTTTTGTTGCAAAGCCTGGAGCTGACAGGAGAAAATACTGTCAGTACCAGCAAAGTTACGAGCACCTGACTAAAAACTATGTTCATCTCAAAGACGCCACTGAAACCCTCATCAAGGGTGGCCGACTCGGAAAATACCGATGCAATGACGCCCCTTGTCGAGATGCCTGCGAGACAAAGGAGGTTGACAAGGACACCCGACCATCAGATAAGGCGGCCTCCATCCAGATAGCTTTCTCCATAACAAGGACGAAGGACTTCTATGTCCCTGTCAGATACAAGGAAGAACCTATGTCCATGCACAGCAGGTGAGATAAATTCCCCTTCGCCATGGTTATAATTGGCGGGGGGTGGGTGGGTGGGGGGTTCAATGAAATCTCCATAAACTTCGTGAAAAAAAGCTCGATGAGTTGGTCGACGCAACCCTGACTCAAGCGGTGACATTCGAGAAGGTCAAGGGCAAATCAAAACCAATCATTTTCTACCTCGAGGAGTTGCCGAGAGGGGCCCCTAACTCGAGCATCCCTCTGCTGGTGAGGGCAAGAGTGGCTAATTTAGATGTTCACCGTGTCTTGGACGACGAGGGGAGTTTCGTCGACGTTATGTATATCCATTTGTTCCAAACCTTACAACTCAACGACATCCACCTTTCACCATATAT